TCTCTCCGTCCAAGTTCCTACTTTCCTATCCTAGGAGACAACAGGCTTGTAATATTCCCATACAACCCAAAGATACAAATACTGTAGACTGTGAAAGATCTCTGCCTTCACTCAAATATCTTCCTCTGATTTATTAGTTGATCAAATAAAACTTAAGTTAAAAAGAAAACATACTTGACATTCACTATATGCAACTACGCATGCAACTTCTTAGTTATCTTACAGAGGGAAGTAAGCTCAACCAGAAGACATACAAAAGGCCAAAGGGAAAATGTAGCTTAAATTGCATGTATGCAAGTTGTAATGGCTTATTTTCACTATGAGCTCAGCAGAAAAATTACCAGAGGCACATTTAAAATTCAGCGGAATAGAGAGTATTTAATATGCCATTTGCATTTTGACAGCTTAGAAATGTCTACACTGGGTTTGCTGTATCGTCTGCTTATAAGCACGGACCAGCCACCGAGCCTTTGTTTATCTATTTCTTAAAGGAAGCAGAACCATTTTCTTGACATTTTCAAAGCTGTGTTGGTGTTTGCTTGACACAATAAACTGGAGAATAAGGAAGCATTGCCCCCAGGAGGAGCTGCTTTTGCCTGTAGGAGCTTTAGCACTGTGGCTGTGGCAGTCTTCTTATCAAGCATGATTGGCCAGCTGAAAGCCAACATAAAAATAGCCATTCCCTCTCCTCCCTAGGCCTCTGCCAGTGAGATGCTTGAGACGTGGGGGAATTCTACCACCCTGCCCTACCCACCATTTGCTTCTCTGGACTTGTTTGATGAGACCTCATTGCCCTGGTATTCAAGTTTACAAAACCTGTCACTTCCAAAGAAAGCCTCCCTTTTGCTTACCTTTTCAAGGACTTAAAACCCCAAACGACATGAGTGCTCCAGAAGCACTGAATAGCTTTCTGCTGACCAGTTCTGATTTGAAGTCATAGTAATTAATAATAATATCCTGATAATGCAACAGGAAAAAGACATGATCTGCTCAGCAATTACAGAGATATTAACTTCATTTTAAGTGTTTGTTTGAGACGGAGTTTCGCTCTTGTTGCCCAGGCTGGAGAGCAATGGCAGGATCTCAGCCCACTGCAACCTCCACCTTGCAGGTTCAAAGGATTCTCCTGCCTCAACTTCCTGAATAGCTGGGATTACAGATATGCGCCACCACACCCAGCTAATTTCGAACTTTTTGTAGAGATGGGGTTTCACTATGTTGGTCAAGCTGGTCTCGAACTCCTTACCTCTGGTGATCCACCCACCTCGGCCTCCCCAAATGCTGAGATTACAGGCGTGAGCTACGGCATCCGGCCCATTTTTTTTATTGTTGGATGGGGATTAGGGGTTTCCTGTGAAAGTATCTTCTTCACAGGAGTGTCCTGGCTTCATCAGGAGGAAGTGTATGGGGTGCGGCTCTGCCATAAAGGAATTTGACCAGCAAATTAAAGGTCTTAGCATCCTTCTTGGTGACATGAGTCTTTAATAAGGTAACTCATCTAAAACCATGCAGGTATGGGAGGGTGCACCCCGCTCGCGGTGGAGTTCCAGGCTTGCTCTGGAAACTCAGCAGTGCGTGCTCACATCTCTGCTGGGTGGGTAAGGGAATGTTTGAATTACTTCCTTTAAGGAATGTTCCACCTTTCTCTTTCGGGCTTCTCAAAATGAGGCTGCTCTGGGCTAGTAGTGTTGTGTGTGCTCTCCTTTAGGACGCTTTCTGGGTAAGTAATTGTATGCAAATACCTGCATTCTCCTGGCTGCACATATGCAAGAAACAACTGAGAAGCAAACTTTGTCCAAACAGCCAGTAGATCAGCCCCAGGTAAAGGGACAGATCCGAGCCAGCGCACACAGAATTAATATTCCTGTTTACTAGATGAAAATGCTTACAGCCTTACTCCTTTTCCCCTGATCCCTGAAAAAAGGCATTTAAAGAGAAACGCACATTTGGGACTCAACCTTTATGATGCCATTAATAATCAAGAAGAAAAAGGAAATCACCAGTGAATTTTCGATACCCCCAACGCTTTATTGAAGAGTACAGCACCATCAGCTGAAGCTGATACTCGGGTACCCACAGTAACGGGTTTCAGTGACCTCAACTGCGACCGCCTCCAGCCTCACGACTCCGCAAACAGGTCACGAATTATGCCCCACGCATCAAAAACTCTGCGCCTGCCTTCGCCACAGCGGGTGCCGCCACCTGGGCGCGCGCAGCGCAGCTGCCCACGGCAGTGGCCGGGCGCCCTCCCGCCAGAGCGCTCCTCCTCGGGAAAGCCCTGCTGCGCGCAAGCGCCTCCGGTCGGCCCTGGAGCGCGCTGCCGAGCCCCGGGGCCCAGCGCCGACGCCCCCGGGGGAGGCCCGACCTTGGTCACCCGGGCTTTGCTAGGCAAGGGGAACGCGACCCCGCCCCAATAGCCAGAGCGCACAAACAGCGACTCCGGCGCTGGCGTCACCGGCCCCCTTCCTGCCTGCAGCCCCTTCCCAGGCCGCTACAGGAACTCGCACTTGACCCCGCAAGCGCGGAGGAGACACGGCCCTTGGTCCCTGTGGGGTTAATGAAGGAGTTCCACGGACCCACCGCCGGGTGGGCCAGACAATAGCGCAGTGATAGCTGCGTCCGAGCGTCCTGGACCCCCATCGCGCGCACACACTTGGCGCACAGCACCGCTCCAGCTCCATGCACGCCAGGGGCCTGGGACCCTGGGCTCCACTTCTCGGCTTCTGCAGCCAGGTTCTGGGGCCTGCAGCGCCCAAGAGGAGCTCTCTTCCACGGGACTGCCCCGCAGGGCCCGAGGCACCCAGGACTTTGCACCTCCTGCCCTGTTCACCCCAGAAGCAGCCAGAGCAGCCCCCGCCCACTACCTGCCCCTCCACACCCTCCCTCTCGCCTCCGCCTCAGCCTCATCCTAGCGCTGCAGCCCACCCGCGTGGGGGCGGAATCCGCCCGGCACACACGTGTGCGGATTATTAAGCAGCCGAGCTAGGGCCGCCGCCGTCTCCACGCAGCAACCTCTGTTAATTGCGGGGGAAGGGAGCCCGGAGCGCGCGGAACTCGGGGGAACCGAGAGTGAGCTCAGAGGCTGAGTTGCCTGCTTGAAAAGAAGGAAGCCCCGGGCCCAGATAGGCTTGGAGTGCAGGGGAAAGGGCGGGAAGTTTTGCGGAGTTGCATGGCAGGTGTTTCCTCTCTACGCAGGGGCTTGACTGGAAAAAGCCAGGTCCTGTCCCTTGGGCTCCTGCCCTCTCCCCGCTGCGACCCACACGCCCCTGCACACCTCACAGGGCACAATCCTCTTTGCCCTAGACTTTAGCTGCCTCGCCTTCCAATTCCCAGCCAGTCCAGTGCTGACCAGAGGCCGCTGCCAGCCGGGCCCTGCTCAGCCGGCGGTGCCTCCGCAGCCAGCAATGTCAGCGGCAGTGGCCAAGGCATCCGGACCGAGCCGGGCGGGTGGGCAGAGGGTCGGCGTCTGCAGGAAGCTCCCCAATCCCAAGCGACCACAAGCTTGGGTGACTAAGACCCATCGTTTGCGCTCCCCGGGATCTCGGGGCGCATTCCCGCAGACACCCCCTTGTGAGGGTGGATGAGGGTGAGGAGGAGCTGGTGCTGAGCGGTCAGCTCTCACCGAGCCCTGGACGCCCCGTGGAGACGAGCGCAGGGAGGGGAAGCCCAGCAGGCACGTCTCTCCCCCGCTCTCCAGGCAGATCTGGAGTTTCCTAATGAACCAGATACAGTCCTCCTTCGCCCTGCCAATCACTCTTCCATCTGGACCACTGGAGGAAAAGGAAATGGGTGGAAAAGAAGATGGAAGAATCTAGAGAGGAAGGGGAAATTTTATGTAGGGAAAAAAGCAAGTGACCATTAAAAAAAAAATCATAAGGTTGGACTCCATCCTTTAAAAATGAAACGAAAGGAAACCCCTGTGTAGATCCACATATTCCCGGGAATATCTGTCGAAGTGCTGACTATAGAGAAAGCATCTAAGGAGGCTAAAAATGAGGACAGGGGCAGGTATTTCCAATGTGAACATCAATCAATCTTCTCTTTCTCTCTCTCTGTTTCTGTCTCTCTCCCTCTCTCTCGCCCTCTCTCAAAAGAGAGCTTATTTTCTTTCCCGGAGAATAGACAAGTGCACAAGCTATTGCCAGCCTTGAGGTCGCAGCCTGTAGGCTACTTAGGATAAAACATTCCCCAACTCATTCAGGGAGAAAACCAAGTTCACAGAACCCCAAGCCCCAGAAAGCACCCAGAGAAACTCCTTCCCCTGACCAGGGTGGAAAGAGGATACCCCTGCGCCCACAGTGAATGCATCTGGCTTGGAAGCCGGTCCAGAACTCCTAGCCTGTTTCACGCACCTTGCCAACACCTTACAACTTGCAAGGAGCGAAGTCCGGGGGAGAGGAAAGCGGGGGCCACCTTCCAGAGGCAGCTACTCCTCGCTGGCTGAGGACGTTGGAGAGGGAAGGAGGAGAGGAGGAATGGGGTGTATGGGTGCGAGGAGGCCGGGCCAGCGGAGAGCTTTGCCTGTTGGTACCAAAACCCCCGTAGAGAGCCCGAACTTTCCAGGCCGGCTTCACCCGGGCCGCTTTTCCAGGCGCGTCGGGTCCGGGGAGAAAGTCCTGGGAACTGCCCCTTAGCCACCCCGACCCGTGGAGTCCACGTCTCGGAGGAGGCAACACCGCCCCGCCGGAGCACAGTTCCAGCCCAACTCGTCTTGGGTTCCTTTCTCCCTGACACCCTGTACCGCCGAGAAAAAGAGATACCTCCTTTGAGCCCAGGAGAGGGGGAAGGAATGGCGGGGTGGGGCGGGGGCCCAGGAGGGCTGGGGAGACCGCGATGGAAGCTCCCTCCCGGGCATCGCGTTCCCCGAGCGTCGGCGATGGAGCAGCGCCGGGCAGAGGCGGCCACTCCGTACCCTGCGGTCCTCAAAACGCACACTCGCGTCCGCACACGGGGCCTCCGAGGACTCGACCGCCTCCCCGGCCAGGAGCAAGCCGTCTTACCCTTCGCTGCAGTGAGGAGCCTCGCGCACAGCACCAGCAGCCCGAGAAGCAGGAGCAGCGACTGGAATCTCCTCCACGCAGTCATGTCTGCAGATACTCCACACGCACGCGACACCGATGGTTCCTCCGAGGAAGGCAGGGCTATGAGCGGAGCCAAATAATCACCCGAGGGCAAGGCAAGCCGGAGAGAGAGCCCGGTCCCGAGACCCGCCGCGCATCCGACGCCTCCTGCAGGTCTAGGCGCCCGGCTCGCTTCCCTCTCATAGCATCGGGTCCCGAGCCACTGCAGGGCTGAGCTGCTCCGAGCGCGGAGACCCGGGCTGGCGGGGCCGGGGCCGGGGACGAGCGCCGGCCGAGCCGGGCAGGAAGGCACCAAGGCGGCGAGGCTGCGGGAGGGGGCGAGGCGGGGAGAGGAGCGCGCGCAGCCAGGAGAGACCTGGAGAGGAGGCAGCTGGAGAGAGAGCCAGCGAGTGGGAGATGCGGGGAGGGGGGCGCGGGGGGAGGAGAGAGCCAGTCTAGAGAGAAAAGGCGGAGAGCGCAGAAGACGGGCTGCTAGTGGCACAAGGAGCCGCTGCCGTGGAGGCTGGACTCAACCATCCCTACCCACAGAGAGGGGACCGAGGCTGGGCACGGCGCAGTCCCAGACAGAGCCCAGCCTCGGGGCTTCGGGCTGCCAGCACCGTGCTGCGCTTCATTCGGCCTCAGCGCAGCAGCGCGCAGGCTGGAGAAGGAAGACTTGTTGGGCGCTCGGGTGGGGGAAGCCCACGCCGCACACCGGGGAGGAGCAATGCAATCCGGCAACTCCAGCAAACTGGAGGGTTTCTGCAGGGGCAGAGGCCGGCCTCCATTCTTTGATCTCCCTTCCTTGCTGACCAGAGAGCAGCCCCCTGCCTAACTTAGATCAGAAATGCAGGTGGAAAGGACACAAGCTTCAACTCCAAGGGAGGAATACACACACACACACACACACACGCACATATATGTATGTATATATTCCTATTCCTATGTATATATATAAGATGGACTATTTGCAAGGAGTTACACATATTTACAAATTTCCTGACTTCGGATTGTGTTAGCCTTAGCCATGCCCAAACTTCAGCTTCAGATAAAATGTGACATGAAGAAGTCTCTAGAATTAATATTATGGTCTGGTTATGAGAGCCGGCATGTTGGCACAGCTTCTGATGAAACTATATATAAAATTCTGTGGGTTGGGAAGGGGCCTTAAAAGAGAAAAGACAGGTTCTCCCTGATTCTGCAAAAGGAGGAAGCCCGCAGAGAGAACAGTGCTCTAGAATAGCAGTACTTGATACAGTAAACTGGATTTCACCAGCTCCTCAAATAGAGGAGGCATTCCTGCAGTTCCTGGGGAACCTGTAAGGCGAGACATTTTAGGAAGAAGGTGGTCAGTTAATAGAAACACCATCAGTGAGTGCCGGTTTCCATAGAAGGGCATTTAAAGGATTCAACATCCTTGACCAAAAAGGTTTAGCGCTTTTAGAGGACAGAACATGGAAATCCCATGCCCCAGTAAGAGAGAACCAGCCTCCAGGCCTGGAACCATTAGAGTACAGCAACCATCTACCTGCGGTATCCCCACAGCACCAGATGCCTGTGGTGGGAGGGAGAGCCCACCGCCTCATTCCACCTGCACTTCCTCTCAGTCTTTGAGATTAAATGGATTGACAGTTTGATAATGGTTTATATGCCTCCTTTAATTTTCCTAGATTGCCCCTGCCCCTGTGATCCAGGCTACTCCAGCAAGGCATAGTGGATCCAGGAAGGACTGAAACCTTGGCATGGAAACACCAAAGCCTGACTTTCTTAGTCTCCCTGCAGCCTCAGGTGCAGGTGGCCACAGCGGGGGCCACCTCCACAACCCTTTTCTCCTCGCAGAGATACGCGCTTTAAATATGGGGCGGGGGGAATGCATGCTCTTGGAGTTTCAGTCCTGCACAGGACTTGAATTTTCCTCAGTGCAGAGTCCCGTCTTGCCTCGTTTATCCCTGGAGGGACACTCAGAAGACAGAACGCTTCAGCCACAGGGGAATTCCCACAGAACCCCTGAGTTCTATTCTTTAGGCTGAACTGGGCCTGTGGAGCAGACCGTCGCCCCCTCTGGGAGTTTAAATCAGACCCCAGATAGTATCTGTGAGTCAGCAAGTGAACAAAAATGCTTTCCAAGACCCATTAAGTGCTCCAATAGTTCATTTGAAGCGCCTCATCAGGAAAAACGGATCTCTTTTCAGGAGCTGAAGAGCTGACTTCTCCTTGAGAAACGGTGCCCTGTCTCTATGCTGCCATTCCTAATGACTCGTGTCACCAAGAAGGATTTCTGCCATTAAAAAACGTTTCCAACATCTAACCATCCTAGGCTAGCGCTCATAGATGATTTTCACTTGATTAGGATCCCAATCAGCAACAGTGAGTGTCACCTGAGAGATGGAACGCCTTTCCACATAATTGTGACAGGCTCCGGGCTGAACTTCCCTTTTCCTGTGTTCTGTTGAAAAATGTCCCATGCCACCTCCTTTCCTCAGAGATCAAACAATCTATTTGATACAAAGCCTTGAGAAATAATGGCCCAGATAACCAATAACCACTCTTTTTTTTTTTTTTTTTGCTGTTATTTATATGGGGTATTCTCTTTGGCTCGAACATATATTAGAGAGTTACAATGATTCGTACCAAATTGTTTCTTGATCATAAATATGAGAAGAGTAGGAAACGGCTGTCAAATAAAATAAGCTGGTTTTGTGATATGGTTGTATTTGTGTGTTAATACAGTGAATTTTTCCCCCAAGATCTCAAGGTTGGGTTAATTTGGAAGGAAAACATGGGACACTGCTGCCATCTAGCGTCCACTATTTCTTGTTTGGCGTTTGCAGAGAGATCAGTGGTCCCTGTGTTTCACTTCTCTTACCTCCTGTGGTTCCCTGCCTGCGTTTTGAATCTCCTCCAGAACACTCTTACGCCCTCCTTGCAGTCAGGCTGCAGCTTGAGCCTATTATTAGGCAACTGCAAGCCCCCCAGACACACACATCCACACTTTGATTTTTAAATGATTGTGAAAGCCTTAATCCATATCAGAAGTCCAGTACGTGTTACTTAGAGCAGTATTAACCAAATGGGGTTAGAGTGACTGAGGGACCCAGGACGTCACACCAGGAAGTTCTGTGGCCACTTCTCTGCCGGGGTCTGTGCTGCCTGGAGCATCATACTTCCGTACTTGTATACTGACTCCATTCTCCATCCTGGGCATCGCACTCTCCACAGTCTCAGGACCTGGCTACGCAACACTAGAAATACCCTCGGCGCTCAGGACCAACCAGAGAGTTGAGCAGTGCGATGATTAAAGGCAAAGAGGTGCTGACGTCCTGGAAGGGATAATGACCTCCCTAAATTCAGGTAGTCACTAGTTTAAGACAAGGTTGGAGAAATGACAACGTAAACATCTGAGAAGTGCAGTCGCTGAAGCGGGAGAGTATATTTTAAAAGGAATTGTCTGACGAGGGGACAGAAAATATGAACATGGTACTTGAGATAAAATTAGAAAATTTTAAAACATGCACAAATGAGAATGCTAATTAGCTAGAAAAGCTGTACATGTGCGAAAATCTTAGAAAATATGGTGTGTTGTCATGATGGCTAAATGTGACATTATTTGGTTTGTTTAATGTCACATATGAAAAAAAAACTGATGGCAACCAAAGAATTGGGGAAAAGTATTTCCTTGACGGAGGGGTCAGTATTAGAGCCACACGACTCATGTCTCCAGCAGTGCAATGCCTACCGTGGGTGAGCAGAAGTGTGAGAGAGCTTAAGGAATAAAAGCAGAAGTCAAAACAGTCACATTTGGTTTACAAGGCATTTTATACGTAACTTCATTGAAACCATGCTTGTCTTTATCACTCCCACTTCCAACGGTAAGGACATGGTGGTTTTGAGAAACCAGGGGACTTGAAAAGGGGTCACATCGGACTGAGGGCCAGAATGTGCGTGACACTCAAACTTTTTGCTGCATCAATATTTAAAAACCAAGCCGTCCCACCCGTTGCTGACTGAAGAACATACCTGGACTCCAAGGTTCCAACACACACGGCGCTACGCCCCCAGGGTGGCATGATAAAAGAACAGAGAGACACCTCTGCAGAAGACTCCACTCAACAGCAGCAGAATGCATACTCCTTTCAAGTACACATGGAGCGTTCTCCAGGACAGACCATTTCCTAAGCCATTAAACAAACAAACAAACAAAAACTATGAACGTTTGCAACTCTTTATTTAGGTAAATTGAGATTTACTTAACTATCCTCATTGACTGGATTTATAAGTAGATGTTAATCATCTTCCCATTTTTATAAAATAAATTAACAGCTTTCACATGTATACTATACACACACGGATATATAAATGACATTAAAATGCAGCAAACTAACATGATAAATTGAGCTGTCAAGGGACAGCCCACACTAGGAATGATCCACTGGGAGGAATGACAACACTGCAGATTCTCTCCTTTCACAATTACGTAGCCAAATGGAGGGCCACTGCAGGCGTCAGCATGTATCACGATGACCTGGAAGGCTTGTGAAAATATAGATTCCTGGCCGGGCGCGGTGGCTCATGCCTGTAGTCCCAACACTTTGGGAGGCTGAGATGGGTGGATCATGAGGTCAGGAGATCGAGACCATCCTGGCTAACACGGTGAAACCCCTTCTCTACTAAAAATACAAAAAATTAGCCGGGTGTGGTGGCGGCGCCTGTAGTCCCAGCTACTCAGGAGGCTGAGGCAGGAGAATGGTGTGAACCCGGGAGGCGGAGCTTGCAGTGAGCCGAGATCGCGCCACTGCACTCCAGCCCCGGGGACAGAGTGAGACTCCGTCTCAAAAAAAAAAAGAAAAAAAAAGAAAAAGAAAAAGAGAAAGAAAAGAAAATGCAGATTCCTGACCGCAACCCCAGAGGATCTGATGCAGCATAAGCTATGGAATGCAACTTAAGAATGTACATTTCTTTTTTAATTTTTAATTTGTATTTTTTGTAGAGATTAGGCCTCACTATGTTACCCAGGCTGGTTTAGAACTCCTGGGCTCAAGATGATCCTCTGGCCTCACCCTCAGAAAGTGCTGGGATTACAGGCATGCGCAACCACGCCTAGCTACGAATATACATATCTAAGTTTCAAATGGACCCTGATGCATCCAGGATTCCACTGTGAGAACCACTGGTATGAAGGTTGACTTTGGAGCCAACAGGACTTGCTTTGAATCCCATATCTGCCATTTCCTAGACTAGAGACCTTAAAAAAAAAAAAGAAGAAGAAGAAGAAGAAACTTAATCTAGATGTAAGTTTCTGGTCTCAAATGTAGATAATGAGAAGATCTACCTCATAGACTTGTTGGAAAAACCAAACAATATAGACATAATGCCTGATATATAGTAAACCCTCAAAAATATGATTTTCCTTTCTTTATTCCGTGAGTCTCTGAAACGGAGAGAATAAGAGAAGAAACCCAGATGGAGAATGGCATTTCCATCTGTTCGGATCCATATTTTAGGAGTTGCAAACTGGATGTTGGGAGGGAAAAGAAACACATTCCGTCAACGTCTCCCAGATTGTCTCAAGGTGAATCCAGCAGGATTCCATGTGGGAAAGCCGTGGGTTTTACTGACTACGACTTTTAAAATCAGCCTGAAAGGCTTCCTCACACCTGGCTGTTTCCCAAGGCCTGTGGAACATGAGAGAGCTGGAAAAGCTCGTCCGGAACTAGGTGAAGTGACATTCTGAATGTTCATCAGTGATGCTCTCCTCTTGCGGGAAAGAACACCTGGGGCAGAGATGCTCTGAATAGCTATCAGCGTGGTCTGACACTGCCCGTCAGTAGATCTGGGAGGGAACAACAGACTCCCCATTGCTCCTCCAGTGCTAAATATTGTCTTAAAAACACAAATAAGGCCGGGCACGGTGGTTCACGCCTGTACTCCCAGCACTTTGGGAGGCTGAGGCGGGCAGATCACAAGGTCAGGAGTTCGAGACCAGCCTGGCCAACATGGTGAAACCCCGTTTCTACTAAAGATACAAAAACACAAAAAGAAAAAAAGAAAAGAAAAGAAAATTAGCTGGGCATGGTGGCGCGCACCTGTAATCCCAGCTACTCAGGAGGCTGAGGCAGGAGAATTGCTTGAACCCAGAAGGTGGAGGTTGTGGTGAGTCAAGATAGAACCACTGCACTCCATCCCAGGTGACAGAGTAAGACTCCGCGTCAAACAAACAAAACAAAAACACAAATAACTGCTTATCTGGCCCTAGTAGCTGCAGGAATACTGGGGATGAGGGACTTTCTCTGGGAACTTGCACTAGTAACCATTAACCAATGGGACTGGATTTCAGAAGGACTAGACTCCATACTATTCTCTCACTTTCAGAAAAACTACATCACTTCTGTGACTTAGATTTCTTATCTGGAAAACAAGGGTTTGGGCTAATGCTCATCCTACGTCTAAAATTCTGATTCTCACCTTCCTTATTTTCCTCTACTTTACCATTTTCCTCTTCTTGTTACAAAATACCATATACGGTCATGCTTCTGTACAAGTTTGGTGAACTCTCCACAGGAAAAACATTGCAAAATTAAAATATAAACATTTAGCTGGCCAGAATAGCAATGAAACAATCACAATAACACACACACACACGTGCACACACACACACACACACACGTGCACACACCATCTCGGCAGCAACTTTGGAATACGAATCATTGCATTTGTCTTTATCTGTAAAGTCGAACAATTCCAATGTTTTATATCTTCTTTATAAAAAAAAAAAAAACACAGTGAAGTGTTCAGTGATCACCAAACTAAAACCCCTCATTCTACCTACAAATGTCTTAAATTCAGATGTGAGGCGGAGATGGTAACACCTTCCATTGTGCTACATCAAATTCATCTTGCCAGTGATGCCGTGTTCCCACTTGATAAGTCCCTTATTTTGAGAAAACATCAAGCTGAAGTGTTTTCCTTCTCTGAATTTTAACACACATAAAACACAGCCATGCTTCGAACTTGAACACTGGCATTCTGTTACTGATGGCTTTTCACGCAGTCCCCGACATTGTGGGCACCACAGACATTGCATCTGAACACACTGACTCTTGCTTCTGCAGGTTTCGTGCACTCGAAAGAGGGTTGTACGGCAGGTGGAGAAGGTGAATAGAAGTGGGATGTACTGACTCTTGCTCCTTGCCTTCTCCTTTTCAAAGACTTTTGTGACTTGTAACTCAGCAGAGGAATTCTCAGGGCACTGTGAATGAAGGGCCTGGGGCTTGGAGAAACAAAATAGGCAGAGGCCTTCTCATGAGTACAAGACTCCCTGGGAGTCTTTCTTCCATTTTTCCCTCCACTCACGAGTTATTTTCCACATTCCTCGCTCACTTCTCTCCTAACTGACCTTAAAATTAGGTAAATCATGTGACTGCTGATATGGTATAGGTTTCAAGTTTCCAGATCCCTTTAAATATCAGTATGTGTGAAGTTTTACCAGTCAAGCCTTGCCTTCTGAGCCTTGGAGGCTCTGCAGAGGAAGAGCTCCTTACTCATTGAAGATGCTTGTACGGGTTTGGCTTGTGATATTCAACTCCTGTAATCTAATTTGACCTTTCATTGAGAAAGCAAGGGCTCTCAGGGACAGTACACTGGGCAAAGTGGTAGCGAGGGACAAAGCGATGTGCCCGAGAGAGTGTCTGAAGTCCAGGATTAGATTCATGTTGCAGGGCCTGTTTCTTCTGAGTATGCCTGCTTTCTCTAGTCAACATCCAGCATATGGAGAAATTCCTCATGTAGACAAAATGCAGATTCTCGCTAACCTGAGCCTGTGTCTTAGTTCCTGCAGGTCCTAGCTGAGTGGCTTTGTGCATTTACCCAAGTGCAACAATTCCTGGCCTCGCCCCTGAAAGGGTATCTATTTTCTAACTCACAGGATTGCTGTGAGAATTAATTGAAGCAATATATGGAAAATACTGAATTTGAACTTGAAAAGACATAAGAGGTTTTAGCTCCCTTCCTCTCCATTCTTTTTAGCTTTACCTCTGAGCGTGAAGGTATTTTTTTTTTTTTTTTTGGCCCCTGAAGGATTGTCCTTTCTTTCTTATTGATTGAAATAAGATCCTTTAAAATTTTCCTGAAATTGTATATGCAAAATCTCTCCTATTGGAAAAGTTTCTTTAAAAAGCAAGTTATCATCCTTTGAGTTACTGCAACATAGTCAGTTATTGGGTTATCCCTTTTAAATATGGAGCAATGCTGCAGTGGGAGCTGAAGGAGTAGGTGACCGCTGCTGTGTGATCAACAGGAGCAGCAGCTTCAGAGCTCACACCAAACACCTGGAAAGTGTCAGGTTCTGCAACTAGGGCCATGATACAGAGGTTGGAGGCAAGGTTCTCGCACGACAGAAGAAAAGAGACTATGCAGTAACAACAAACTTACGGCAGGTATGTGCTTATGCAGAAACTTAGTCTAGGAAAGATGAATTGCCATGTCCTAGCTCTCATAAGTAATTATCAGAAACGGGATGAGCATCGAAGTCTGAGGTCCAGGCTGGGTACATTTCATCCTGCTGCCTCCAGGGACGCCCCTGAAGACTCTCTGATATGCCAAGACCTAGGGTGAGCCTGAAGGAAAGATGAGCGTTCAGCACAGACTTCAAGGAGAAAGAGCATTCCGGGCGCAGAGGGAAAATATGTGCACACATTTGGAGGGGTGTCTGCCGAAAGAATTCTCAAAGAAATCTGCGTTTGGTAAGAAGACTGCTTAAGAAACCTTTTTCAAGTGTGGACCCAGGTTTCCTATATTTAAGTTTGTATTTACTGAACATGTACCAATTGATTGTAGGGTTACCCAAATTGTGCGTGTCAGAGGGGAGAGGTTGAAATGTAAAATGGGACACGGGAAGGGATGTGGGAGTAGCAGTGGCCTGTCGGTGACAAGATCCCAGCTACCCTGCAGCATAGGCTGCGGCAACCCGTCTTAGCAGGTCCTACTCTTTTTTTTTTTTTTTTTTTTTACTTTTTTTTTTTTTTATTTTTTATTATTATACTTTAAGTTCTAGGGTACATGTGCATAACGTGCAGGTTTGTTACATATGTATATTTGTGCCATGATGGTGTGCTGCACCCATCAAAAAAAAAAAAAAGAGTAGGACCTGCTAAGACGGGTTGCCGCAGCCTATGCT